ATTTATTATTGAGAAACAATTCGTCGTTAAGGAAGTAGCCATATTAAAGAATGGAAACATTCTTACGCATTACATCTTCAAAAGTCCCATGCCATGGCGTTTCTTAACCACATCTGATAAAAGGTGTGCTACATGGTTAATGATAAATCATCATGGATTACAATGCAACGATGGAATGGTACCGTACTGTATGGTGAGACAATTAATCTCGGAAACAGTAAAAGGAGACAGTTCAGCAATCGTATTTGTGAAGGGGTTGGAAAAACGCAAGTGGTTAAATGATATTTTAACTAACGACTACATTGTGAGCGAATCCATCGGTACACATTATGAAAATATTAAATCTCTCGAAAATCTCGATTCTAATAACACATTTCGATGTGGAAGACACGTAAAACATTGCGCATTACAAAATGTATTAAAATTATTTAATTGGTGGGAACAAGAACAGAATACAATACATTTTATATATGTACAATTCAATACTTCTTTATTTACTTTATAATTTGTATTCTTTCCGTTATGTATACATATGCTTTTGCAAATAAACAGAGATTTGTAAAATATTAAAAAATATATTATTCGATATTGCTTCTTTTTAATATTACACAAATATCCTACGTATAACTATGAAAGCTTGCATTATAAACCGTAGGATACGATGATAAAATCAATTTTCAATATATTTGTAAGAATATTAAAATAAAAAACACATTAATCGATATTGCTTCTATTTTCTGTTATAAATATCCTATGTATAACTGTGAAAGCTTACATCATAAATCATAGGAGAGGAGAGGGGAACGTGCGCAACAGCCACGAACCACGAACGTGACTTTCCTCATAAAAAGTGTCAGTCTTGTATAAGTTTTCAATCGTGCAGCACGCGTCTCCACGTTATTCCAATAGACTACAGAGTGATGGTGGTGGGAGGCGACTCGAACTCACTGATTGATTCGCTTCCGCAGCGCTCACCCCCTCGCTCACAGGGGAAACGTGGGTCGTCGTAAAAAAAGTAAAAATCTTACGTAAGCTTACATGCGTGCAGCATGCGCCTTCGGTAACTTATTGTTAGGGAAAAGTGGATAAGGGGAGTGATGATGGTGGGACTGGGCGATGGGTGAAAAAGTGGGGCCAATCGAGCTCGTTGATTAGTTCAACCTTTCCGATCACCCCTCGATCACACATGATACACAAAACATATATTTTAGATCATCGTGTGGTAAGTGAGTGTGCGGGTGACGTGTAGCATCATATATTCTAGATCACTTGGTGGCAAGAGCGGAGACGGGGCATTATATGTTCTGGATCACTTGGTGGCAGACGGGCGACGGGGACTGGAGGAAAAGTTGGGTGAGGGGGAGTGTGAGCAGTGGTGGGAGGCGAACCGTCCGCACCGCTCACCCCCCCTCACCCACTTTTCCTCCCGGTCCCCGTCGTCCGCCTGCCACCAAATGATCCAGAACACGTATAGATATCCTACTCGTACATCTTCGCTCTGAGTCCGACGAATTCTGTCATTATCATACCGTTGTTCTCCTTCATCAGACCGGGTACTTTTTTATTCGCGAAAGACATACCGTACGCGTTGTCCGCCGGATAATCGCTCGTGTCGAATCTAGCGATATCGCGTTTCATCGTCTCGTAAATGTCCTTGCACTCGACGTGGTATACAAGACTGTCCGTATCGGTGTACATAATTTTACATTTGTCGCGAAATAGTGGTAATATATACTCGTCGTGAAATTCGTACAAGCAGACTTTCGATATGTCGAGTATACACATACCCACATAAATCGGCTTGTTGAACTTCACCTCGAGTTTACGCAGTTCGACGGCGATTAAATTTTCCGCAAAGACGCTACGGCTGTGGAAA